TGCAGCTTTATGTTTCAAAAAATGGCAATGGCTTTGTATAGTGTGAGGATCAGGAAAACTTAAATTAATGGGAAGGCTTTGGGTTTAAACAACTTTTATTTATAAAATCAATAACCAAAAGACAAACATGTGCCCTTGCATAGCAATAACCACATGTAATCAGAGTGCTCATTAAAGATTTTACCAAAGTAATCCTCTTTTTTTCAACCACTTCAATACTCTGAGGTCCATAAACTAGGAAGTCTGAGAAAATCTAGTATTTGTTCCTCCATCTGTCTATAATTTAGACAGAGATGATCCTCAATTTCCCAGGTACTGACCAAACTGAAGTATCTTTTTCTATAAAATGTAATGAGATAAATATAATAAGAATCAGAATCTACAGCAAACTGAATCCTTTATTATGTGAACATGCTTATGTGTGGGGAAAGAAAAGACATTGGGGGTAATTCAAAAAATATCGAATGATACTTATCCTTCTCTAGGAAGCAGATGCTTGAGGGCTATCTATAACTAGAAATAAGGTTACATCACCAATTCATAGTTTTTTGAATATAACACAGTTCTGTTAAGTTTAAATACATAATAAAACAAAGGATTATTATTTCTACACTGTAAAAACACAATGGAAACAAATGTATCTCATAGAGCTAGACACAGTCTATTTTGTTATTGACGCTCATGTTTTATATATCATTGTTGTTCCTTGAGCTGTGATATCTGCAGATGTAATAATTTTTTTTTTGAGAGAGAGAGAGAGAGAGAATGAATTTTTTTAATATTTATTTTTTAGTTTTCGGTGGACACAATATCTTTATTTTATTTTTATGTGGTGCTGAGGATCGAACCCAGCACCCCGCGCATGCCAGGCGAGTGCGCTACTGTTTGAGCCACATCCCTAGCCCAGATGTAATAAATTTGCCTAATAAATTCTTTATGGTTTTTCTCTGCAGGAAAACTAGACTAATAGATGCACAGCATTTGGATACTTTGCTCCCCCGCCCCCACCAGGGGGCTCACAACCTGACTAGCTGTGAAAGGGAAGCCTTGAGGAAGAAGGGCCAGGTATACAAAATTTTTTCATGGCATGGCCTTTATGTGATTTGTGTCTATGTTCTGTCAGTTTTGCTTGGTTTCCTAATTTATTGGTTAGCATCACAACTTTTTAAAAATTGCCTTTATGGCAGAGGACTCCCCCCATCTTATTCTCCACCCTTGGCAGGAATGGAAAAAGCTCCCTTACGAAAGGTAATCCTCCCCAACCAGCCCTAACAAAATAGATAAGTACTTCTGGATTTTATCATTATATTTTATAATACTGTTTCATCACATATCTCTCCACCTCTATCTATTCTTCTATACATCCATCAATTCATTTTTATTGTTTTTGCATTGCAAAGGAAAATGTAAATATTAGTACACTTTCCCATAAAGATTTCATAAACATAATATTGCTTAAAATAAAGCTTCCTTTCCCAAATTTTGCTTACTATTTTCTAAGCATTTTAAAAGCATGATTCTCTGTGTCACAATTGCATAACACTGTGATGTCAGAAAACTATAATCTTATATAGTAAGGAGGGGAAAATATTTTATTTTCATATGAATAATATAAGTTTCACATGTAGCACATTCATTTGAAATCTTTGTCATCAAAATTTACACATTATTATTATAGTTCCTATTTGTTTATGATGAAAAATTCTAGCTAATACTTTCCTATTCAGTACTTCCAGGATACTATGCAATTTAACTGAGGAAGAAAGGTGAATAATTACCTTCTAAACTTATTTTAAGCAAAGAAGGCCTTCTGTAGGTAAATGTTTTCCAGCTTAATGATTTCTTAAAATCATCTCTTTACATTTTATTATAATAAACACTTTACCATATCAAGGCTGTGTTTCTACTACTTTCTGTCTTTAATTTTAGAAGCAAAAATTTATATGTCCAGGGAACATTTCTTTATGAAAATCAATCACTTTAAATACATACAAAAAGATTCCAGGAAAAAAAAACATGAAAAAATAAGTTTTAAAGTTCAGATTTGTTTGAATTTGGAGGAAAGCTTTCAGGTAAACGTTAATATTTGCTAAAGACAAAAGAAGCCAAAAAAAAAAAAAAAAAAAACATGCTTGTGGAATTCCTCTATTGTCTTCAGAACATTTACTTTAATAATCTACATAATATACTTGTCCATTATCCCAAATTCATACTACGGCCCTACCCTTTCCATGCTAGATGAAATTAAAATCAATCTAATATTTAATTCTTACTTCTCCAAAGAGTCCAGTCTGGATTCAGGCAATCTGAGTCCCATGTGAGTGATCCTAGGTACTTCCCTAATCTCCATGAGGCTCCTTTTCTTCATCTTTAATTTAATAATCTCTATGATGGTCTTTACTGTTTAGGACTTGTTTCATCATTTAATAACCTTTTTAAAGGGGTATTAAAATGACTAATCAAAGCACAGGGAGTAATACAATTGTAGTCCTTCACAAATACCAAAAGGCCTTTGGTTTGTTTCTCTACCCTTAAGCAGGAAAACTTCTTGGCAGCAGATGAAACAAAAGAATGGGTGCAACTTAAGCTATCTCATTTAATTTTTTTCTAAACTTTATTTTCTTTTTTCATAATGCTATGTATAGCTTACTATCAAAAGAATAACTGATAAACATTCATTATAAATGAAATAGTAGGAAAGCACTAAAACAAAAAAAAACTAAAAAGCTAGTATACCACAAGGGAAAACATCCAATTTCAGATGTAACCACAATGCAAGCTAAAGTCTAATAATAATGATAGCATTAATAATAATTAGGGGTCTGGGGTGGTGGCTCAGCAGTAGAGTGCTCACCTAGCACGTGTGAGGCACTGGGTTCAGTCCTCAGCACCACATAAAAATAAATAGATAAAAATAAAGGTATTGTGTCCAACTACAACTAAAAAATATTTTTAAAATAGTCACTTTATCAAAAGTAGCTCCAAAAGAGTTGGGAAACTATATTTGAATAAAACCAATAAACAAAAAATTTGCACATTTGTAGAATATGTGCATTCTAGGATCAGCAAGAAGGTTGCATAATAGGATGTTTAGGCAAAAACCAAACAACTACATAAAGTCAGAAAGACCAAAGACACAGTAAAGCCATCAAGAATATGCTCCCAACACTTCTATTTTATTCATGTTCATCTTTTTAAACTCTTCAGGCAGCAGCTTAACTAATTAAAATTACCCAGAAACAGGAAAAACTAAATAGCAATGAGAGCAAAGTCCTAGGTCCAAATAAATGTGACATCAGCCCCAGCATTTTTGACATATTCATGGAAGCCAGCCTCATTCGGGGTAAAGAATCTCTTGAATATGCTAAAGTTATTCAGATAAAAAGGCAAGATTCAATTACAGATAATAACTCTTGCAATATATTTACACTTCAGCTTCTAAAAATACTGTTTTCCAAAGGCTTAACTGCTTTGTAGAGTTCAAAGTGTCACTTTATATATAGAAAATTAAGTATAGAGTATGAATATCTACACAACAAAAAATATCTCCTCAAGCCCTGACCAATCTGAAGTTTCTCCCCTTTTTGGGCAGTCAAGCATATTTATCAATCAGCCTACTCTTGAGTGGATGACCATTTTCAGTTATTTTACAAGGTAGCATCTAAAATACACACAACAAACGATAGATAAATGGTCTTAAGAGTAAGGAGCAGAGGATCAAAAAAAAAAAACAGTTCAAGATCCAGCACCATCAGTAATCTGTTATTTCATCTAATCCAACCACTTACCATATTGGCCTCAGTTTACTCATTTGTCAAATGATAATACCCCCTTTACAGGGTTGTTCTGACTGAAAAAATTAGAGAATATATATTTAAGTCTTTGAAAGAGTTAAAAGGCATTATAACAGATTACATTATTAGTAAAATTTAAAAATTCCAAAAATCAACCCAACTTCCTTTTGGTACACACAATTGAAAATTCTATTACGTTCTATTTTAAAACATATTGTATACAAGAGTATACCACACATACACACATACACACAAAAAAAGCAGTAATCATTTTTAACAGACCCTGATATGTACCACTCGTCTTAAGAAATGGAACATAGTACTAATACCTAGAGGATTACATTCCATGTGCCTGCCTGTTCTGTCATACTTGTTTTCACTTACTCTACATCATTCTAAATTTTGTGCCAATCACTTCCTTTCTTTTATATGGTATCACATTTATATGTGCTCTAATCTCTTTTTATCTGTCCATCCTTTTATCTTCCTTCCATCCATCCGTTCTGTTTTCTGAATTATATATATATATATATATATATATATATATATATATATATAATATATATATAAATGCTAAAATACTTGTCCTTCAATTTCTATAGTATTGTTCTCAGAGCAATTTTTGACATTATTATCTAATTTGTAACATATCTCAAGGTTAAAAGAACATATTATAACCAGGGAAAGCAGAGAAAATTAGGTACAGTAAAATTATTAATCTGCCCCATTATTTGATAATGAATGAATCTTTCTATAGTCATTCTGAAAGTAAAGCAAACCAATTACTGTCTCAGAACTTTATAGCATATTCTTATATTTAGTTTTAATTTAAATGAAAACATTTCTCTAATGCTAGGAGCAAAATGAGTTAATATTTTTATATTGATTTTACATAGCTGGTATTTTTTGCTTTAATATCAAAGGGGAAAGAATATTAAAGAATACAGGTCACACTTAGAAAATATAGTAAAGCTAAAAAAAAAAATAAAAGAATACCGGTGATGTAAAAGTCCCAAACAATATTAAAATATTTCCTTAAAGGAAAATAAGAACAAATTAAATAAAAAATATCAAGAGAAGTAATGTTTTTCTTTGAATGGATGGACTGTCAGAAAATAGCCAGATTATGGAATGTTCTCATTAAAGATGGCAGCTCCTGAAATTGGTAGTTAGTCTGACACAAATCAGTCCAAATACAGCATTCACCTTAGCAAGTGGTGGAAGAATCTCCTTGCATATCTGCTGATCTGGTCTCTATATTCCAAAATAGTTGTATCCAGAAGTGGTCGTGTTGGAGCATAGAAGGTTCCAAGGCTTGCCTCAAGCTGTGCTGTGGAATTCAAACATAGCAGCACTAAAACAAGTGAAACTCCTTCAATTACAACAGAATACTCGTGTTTGCAGTCAGTCAGGTTTTTCGAACTTGGATGAAATGTGAGCTTGTTGCAGGAAAGATGAAATTAAAATATGACAGCTGGTACAAAAACAAACCTGTGTATAAACTTTCACTTGAGGCAAAGCTGACAATGACTCTGAGCAACAAAAAGCTGTCAAAACTGAAGAAATCCATAATGAACCAACCTCTCACCACAAATGGGTAATTAAAATAGTGACTCATCAAAGTTACACAGTTTGAACTAGTATTTCCTGTAAAATCAACTTGCAGTGTGCTCAACATTTACTCTTTTTAGCTGAAAAGAGAAAACTAACCTTTTCACATGGGAAATTGAAGTCAGCATAGTAGAAATGGTTTTTAAAACAATACAAATAAAAACAACAATACAATTAAAAACAGTGAGACCACCTCTCTACAACAATTTTAACAGGGCTGTGAAAGTCCCTATATTTTCCTAAATCCTGTCCTAAGCAACAAGATTCTTGGTTTTGTTAGTGAAAACTAACACCCTGGGAGAAGAAAGGAGGACTGAAAAAGCAAGTTTTGATAAACAAGGAGGACTAGAGATTAGGGGGAAAATACACATTTTGATAAACAAGGGGGATAGAAAATAGGGGGAAAATGCAAAAAATGTCTGGTCTTCTATCAAGGCATGCCTATGGGACTGTGCTTCAGCCCAGAAATACCTGAAAGTTAAGTAATTACCGTAATGGTGAGAGTATGTGTATGTATGAGAACACTACAGTTCACAGTTAGACTCCTCTGATTTTTTTTATGCTGCCAGTACTGGGTTGAATAAACAATTCATTATTTAGCAAAACTCTTTAGTTGTAGGCACATTTGTGTTTGAAAGTATTAAATTCCTCATCAGAGTAATTGCTATGGACTTGGCTAAGCTGTTAGTAATTTCTTTTTTTAATCATAAATCTAGACAGTAAAGTAAGATGAACTTTAGAGGTATTTTCTTTCAAAGCAGCAGTCAATTTAGATTAAAATTGAATATAGCAATGCTATTGTGAAAACAAGCCAGATTCTCTTGCCATTGCTTGTTTTCTTGACAGCATGTTTCGTACATCTGAAATGTTCGAACCTACATGGAATACTTGTAACTCCCAGCACAGTTATAGATTCATTAGATATCCCAGCTTGATGTTTAAGGCAGAAATGAAGATCTCAAAGATAACCACAACATGGTTACAAATAAAAGAGCTCACTGGGTTCCACTAATAAAAGGAAAACAAATTACCATGTCAAATTTGTTAGCTTCAGATAGAATAAATCTCAACAGAGAAGAACTCTGAATGTTTTAGAAATGTGTTTTGCAGTTACTTAGGGGGAAATGCACATATCTACTTAAAATGTACATATTCTGATAACCCAGCATCATGCAAGCATTTTATTTTAATAGGCTACTATCATAAAAGCTTTTTATTTCCCTATCTCCCCAATATGGTTCCTTGAAAATATCCTTTATTAGAGCAAGAATCTGATAATGCCCATTTGTGTATTCCTTAACAATATTTCTTATGACATAGTAATCTTACAACATAAATTCACTAGGTGCAGCAATTTCTCAGTGTCCTGACAGTCAATATTTTATCTTTTCTACTTTTATACTTTTCTTCTTTAAGTATAAATTTAGGGTCTCTTATATAGATTTTATGTATCATCATAGGCTTCCTTTAGGGAACGTGTTTTTGTTATTTCTTTTTATGTACCCAATTTTGAGGTCTTGGGAGTATATCAATACTAATAAATAATTACTTGAGATAGTTCTGCAGGCAGAAATATTACAGCAATATATTATACTCTAATAAACTTGGAGTTAAACTTTCTTTTTTATTGTTAACTAATACTCATTGAGTACCTTTTGTGGGCCAAGCATTGTAGAAGACAGTGAAAGTGTATCTGTTGTGGGGAATCGATGTAGGGATTGCATCCAGGGCCTCGTACATGCCACACAAGCAAGCACTCTACCACTGAGCTACATCCCCAGCCTTTTTTTTTTTTTTTCAAATTTTGTTTTGAGGCATGATCTGGCTAAACTGCCCAGGAGGGCCTCAAACTTGCAATCCTCCTACTTCGGTATCCCTAGTAGCTGAGAGTACAGGTGTGTACCATCTCACTTGGCTTGTGGAAGGAATTTTCTTAGTGTGGAAACACTGAAATCTTCATGTATGGGTTTGCACTACCTCCAAAAAGTCCATTCAACTTTTATTAAATAAATCATTATTATGGGATTTCTGTGAGTTTGCCCAAGACCCTGATACAGACTTCCTGAAGAAGTATGTTATTACTGATTATTCTTCTCTAAAACTCCTAAGATGAAAATTAACCACAGAACACTATCAAAATAAAACTTGCTTACTTTGGAAATGTAATAACAATGTAGTAAGAAAATCTATAAAAATGCACAGAAAATAGTAAGAAAGAAAATGTAAAGGACCTTTTGACATATCTTGTTTTTCCTAATTTCCTGTCTTATTACTTATGGTCAATTTCTTGTTGGCCATGATTTCCCACCATTAATATCAATGCTTATCACAAAGATGTAAATGAAGTTGCAAATTTTTGATGCAATTTATATTACATAAATGAATACCTCATAAAAGATTTATTACATTATTGTAGGTGACATATCTTGTTTGTTTGTTTTTTTCTTTTTAACAATAAACATCTAGTATCCCTATAGGCAAAGTTACTTATTGAGTAAAGGTAGGAAAAATCCAAGCAGACAGAAAGGACAGAGGTGTCAAAAGCACAAGTTTGAAGATTGAAAACAAGAAGGAGCAATTCTGCAATACAATTCTGACACACACAAAAAGTGAGTGTTAATGACTATTGTCTGGACAGAGGACTTGGATGTGAGGAAAATAATATTGATGTCTAATATGAAGGAGTAATAAAGGCCTTTGTTTGAGGCCCTTTGTCTACAGACCAAGAGAGCACATGAAATTGCTGATCAAAGTTTGAAATCTGAGCATATTTCACACTTAGACTGACTTGTACAATGACTGCATTGTGAGTTCCAACACAAGCTATACAGAAAAGTTGTTCTTTATGTTGACAAATACCACATAGTAAGTACTACATGGGAGCAATTATCTGCTATCTAATCCTTTCAGTTTTAATAGAGAATTAACATTTTTGTCTTTCAATCTCCAATAACATCACTCAAAAATGTCTTAAAACATCTAACTCAAAAAAAGTACTTCATGTATATACAAAACCAATTTGTGAAACATATTCAGGTCTGACCTTCTCTCTCTGGAGTAAGTCTTTGTCTAAGGAGATGGTTCACGATGGCACTCATGCTGATAAAGCACTGCTGGCCCAGGGTGTCCCAGTTCATACTGCTCAGGATGTTTATTGCTTCATAGATCTCATCACAATGAATGTACTGGAAGACAATATCTACTAGGCCCAGTTGTCCCTGAGTGAGTATGCCTGCCACAAAACATATAAAACTAGGTAAATCTTTTAAAATACAGAATAACAAAAACAGACTTAACTTTCCTATAAAGGAAAAATTTTTAAAAAACATTAAATATTTCTTGCATTAAGTGCTAGTATATGGGACTAATCCCCTTCTCAACCAATATTTTCTATAAAACATCTTGGTACAACAGGAACACATTTATCCTTTTAAAATGAAAGAAAATTTACTTTTAATTCTAGAGGACCAAGAACATAAAAAGAAAAGTTCAGGGGAAGCTGTCTGTTCTGGTCTTTTAAAATTGTCTTTTAAAAGACTGATCTCATTTGAAACTAACAATTTCTGAGTGTTAAATGACAATAAATACTAGGGCTTTAAAGCATGTTTCTGTTTTGTTTTTCATCTTTTGAAAATGGCTAGCTATAAAATCTTTTTTTCTTTAGCCGATGTTTACTGACTTTAGCAATTCTACAATAGCTTCTCAGTACAAATAATCATAAAGCTAAATGAGAAAATGTGTGTGAAATTACTTTGTAAGCTATAAAGTATCATAAAATATTATTGCAATTCTTTTTATTACTATCGCCATCACTTAACTGGGCTATTTATAGGTTGTAGGATTTTTTTTAAATTAGTTAATGAGAAAGATGCTGAAATTCTTCACACTAACTTCAAGTCCCATCAAAATAAAAATTTGTGCTATATCTAACAGGACTCAACATGATAGGGAATCTGGGGAATTGCCCTAACTATACTAAGCAGTAAAACTTTACTATTCCTTTTGTGTTGGTACAATCAACAAATATAACTATCCTAAAGTCTCCATGAGCCTGCAGTCAAGCACTGGAAGTCCTCGTAAATCAAGGTGGCTACTTGGCAGTAGATATTAATGCAGAGAACTTTTGCAGGAAGCTGAAAATACCTGAGATTTGTTGATTCTATCCCTAAGCAACACTTCTATGAGTAGCAAGAGAAAGAACTGATCTGTTGGGGGTGGGGAGAGCTAACATAATTATGATCAAATAGTTCAAAGACAACAAAATTGAAAACAAAATGAGGGAAAAAGATGCATAGGATGTACAGAGAAACAAAGAATGATTCCAGACTTTGCATGTAAAATTATGCAAGCTAGAAAACAACAGGAAGACATTTTTAAAGTATTGAGAATTAAAAATAAATTAACCTAGAATTCTTACCCTTATAATAAAGGGCTCAAAATTTATGAAGAAAAATAACAATTCTTAAGTACACCTAATAAACTGAGCTCTGAAATAATAAAGCAAAACATGACAGAACTAAAAAGAAAAAAATTAAAATATGTAATTATGGTTAGATATTTCAGGACTGCTTTTATAAATCAAGAGATCATGTAAACAGAAATTCAGGAAAAATATAAAATACTTGAAAAACACTATCAATGAATTTCATCTGACATTGATAAAAAACACTTTACCCAACAATGAAATACACATTCTTTTTGAGGGCCCACTGAATATTAACCAAGCTGAGCATATTCTAAATAATAAAAGAAACTTTAATACATTTCAAAGTTTTGAAATCATGAACAGGTTATGTTCTCTAACCATAAGAGAAATAAATTAGATATCTATAACAGAAAGCTATCTGGAAAATTCCCAAATATTTGAATAACCTATGGGTCAAAAAAAATCACAAAGTATATTAGACATTATGTTGAATTGAATTAAATAGAAATATAACATAAAAAACTTTGTGAAATGTAGCTATGGTTTTTAAAGGAAAATTTCTAAGTGTTTCAGTTAGAAAAGAAGAAAGATCTAAGCTCAATAATCCAAGTGTCCGCATTAAGAACCTAGGGAAAAAAGAAAAATTAAATCCAATGTAAATAGAAAGAAGAAAATAATAAAGCTAATACATAGAAAATAATGAAGAACAGTAAAAATCAAATAAACTTGAAAGCTTTCTCTTTGAAAAAAATCAGTAAACTGAGAAAAAGAGATGATACAATTATCAATATCAAAAATAAGAGCTATATAACTACAGGCATTTAAAAATAGGAAAGAGTATGAGTAAATTTATGTAAATGTAGCTTAAATTAAATGGATTCCTTGAAAGACCCAAAATGTCAAACTTCACTCAAGAACAAACAGGGGCTAGGATTGTAGCTCAGAGACCTTGGTGTTTGATCTCTAGCACCTTTTCTTCCAAAAAGAAAGAATAGATGACTTGAATGGTTTTTATATTATTTAAATTTCAATTCATTGTTGTTTTTTTTAAAAAAAAAACCTTTACACACACACACACACACCTTTAACTCTGCATATGTCCAGATGCCTTTATTGATGAATTCTATCAAACATTAAAAGAAAATATGTAACTCTGCATAATCCAAAATACAAGAGAAACAAATACTCTTCAATTTATGAGATTATCACTATACCAGCTCTAAAAATGACAGACATTAAAAGAAAATAAAATAATATTTCAATATCCTCACAAATAAGCATAAGATTCCTTAGCAAAATATTAGCAAATCCAAAAATATATAAAAAAGATGTCATAAACAAATAACATTTATCCCACAAATGTAAGATCACTTAAGCATCTTAAAACCAATCAATATATTCACCACATGACCATATTAAAAAGAAAAAAACATACTTATTTTAACAAATACAGAAAAAGCACTTGAAAAAGTTTCAAAATTCACTGAAGATAATACATCATAGAAGCCTATAAATGGAAGAGGAATTCCTCAACCAAGTAATATCATAGGTAGAATGAAAGACTGAATGTTTTCCACCTAAGACAGGAAACAAAGCAAGGATGTCATCTCTTAGCACTTCTATTTAATACTGTACTTGATGTCATAGCTAGTGTAAAAAGTGAGTAAAATGAAATAAAAGCATACAGATTAGATAAAATGTAAACAGATTTTTAATCCAGTTGTCATGATCATTTATGAAGAAAATCCTAAGGAATCTACACAAAAGTTATAGCAACTAAGAATGAGTTTAACTGGGTTCCAGAACACATGGTCAATATTTTAAAAATTGATTTCTACATAATCCCAGAAAAATGATTAAAAACTGCAATTAAAAATACTATTACAACATTTTTCAAAAACATGAAATACTTAAGGATAAATTTAACATAATATGTACAAGATCTTTATGTTTAAAACTGTACAACATTGCAGAAAAAAATTAATGAATACCTAAATAAATGGAAAGAAACTAAATATTATTAATTTGTATTCCTACTCAAATTGATATATAGATTCAACACAAAGTAAATCAACATCCTAGTAGGTCTTCTTGTAGAAACTGCTAAGCCAGTTTTAAAATTTATATAGAGATGCAAAGGATCTAGAGTAGCCAAAACAATATGAAAAAGAACAACAAAATGAGAGAACTAACAGTACCTGATTTCAAGATTTCCTGTAAAATTACAGTAAGTAAGACACTACGCTTAAGTATAGATATGCAGCTCAGAGGAAGAGAACAGACTCATCATAAACATACACATATGGTCAAGGTAATTCAATGTGAGAAAAAAATACTCTTTCCAGCAAATGGTGCTGGAACAGCTGAGTATTCATAATAAAGAATTAACCTCAACCCATAACTTTATCATATGCAAAATATTTACTTGAAATAGACCAGAAACCTAAATCTAAGAGCTAAAACCATAACACTTCTAAAATAAAACAAAACAAAATCTTTGTGAACTTGGGATAGTATTCTTAGATAGGACATGAAGAGCAGAAGCCATAAAATAAGGAAGTTTACAAATTGAACTTTCATTAAAGTTAAAAACTTCTACAACTCAAACCATACTGTTAAGAAAATGAAAAGTAAACTATAAACTAGAAGAAAATATTCATAAGTGTCTTACCAAAGCCTTTTATTCAGAATATGTATTAGAACTCTAATAAATCATTAAGTAAACATCTAATTAAATTTGGGCAAAAGATTTGAAGATATACTTCCATCAGAGAAAATATACAGCAATAAATATATGAAAAGATGTTCAACTCCAATAGTCATCAACTACCTCACACTCACTAGAGTGACGAAAATTTAAAAGGCCATTAATGTCAAGTGTTAGTGACTATGTGGAGCAACCAGCGTGTCCATAAATTGCTGATGGACATGTTTTAGTAAGCTTTTTCGCCACTGTTATAAAAGATCTGCCCAGAACAATTGTAGAGGAGGAAATGTTTATTTGAGGGCTCATGGTTTCAGAGGTCTTAGTGCATAGAAGGCCAACTCCATTCCTCAGGGCTTCAGGTGAGGTGCAACATCATGGCAGAAGAATGTGGCAGAGGCAAGAGGCCACATAATGATCAGACAGCAGAGACTCCACTGGCCAAATACAAATATATACCCCACAGCCACACCTTACACTTCAATTACCACTCAGTTAATCCCTACCAGGGGATTAATTCACTGATTAGGTTAAGGCTATAAACCGAAATGATTATTTCTCCTCTAAACCTTCTTGCATTGAATCACACATGAGCTTTGGGGGGACAGCTCATATGCAAACCATAACAACATATTAATGGTATAATCACTTTATAAAAAGGTCATTTCTTTTAAAGTAGCATATGACCTAAATATTGTATACTTCTAGGTTTTCCCCAAGAAAAATGGAAATGTGTCCATACAAATATTTGTACATGAAAGTACATATAATTTTTAGTCCTTTAAGCTTATACCTGTGTCAATAAGTATTTGACAGGATAAAAAAGTTATGGTATGTCTGCATCATGGAAGACTACTCAGTAAGATAAGAAAAACTTATAAGATACACATAATAATATGTGTATCTTATAATACACAGATCAATGCTGAGTGATAATATAAAAATGCAAAGTAAGATCTACTATATGATCCTATTTCTATGAAATTCTATAAAAAACAAATCTAGTTCATAGTGACAAAAAGTACTGTTTGTCAGATTTGAGAGAGATGGAGATTAATGACAAAGGGCCTTGGGAGAATTTTTTGGGATGATGGAAATGTTCAGTACCTTGATTATGGTGGTAATCATGGCACTGCATACATTTAAACTTATTAAACTATACAAATAAATTTTTATTTATTAGATTATACCTCAATAAACTTGATTTTTAAACATTCATCATCAAAGTAGAATTCTATTGGTAATAAAAGTTTATTTCAAAAAATTTAAGATTCAATTTTAAGACTGGTATTTAATAAAGTACCCAACATTTCTTTCTAGCAATAAACTAATGTCAATTGTCTCTTGGGTAAAGTATAACTTTGAAATATCTAATTAAAAATAACTTTTGAAGAAAACACACTTATAAAGTTTCTAAGAGAAAAATCATACTCCTTTCCTTTTAGGGAGCATGACAGATATAAACACACATATACTCACATATTACCTGTGATTTTCAAAATTATATAAGAAGAAAGATGTTAACTTCAATTATACTTCATTGAATATTATCACTTGAACAAGTAACCTTTTCTCAACTTTGCAGGCTGCATGAGGACACTGTAGGGTCACTCCACACAGATGGAATACTATTGCCACCACAATGGAAGGGGTGAGTAGGCTTGGCTGGGAAGCTATAGTGCAGCAAAGCTCGGGGGATGAAACCCAAGAGGCAGATGAGGGTTGATCCATCACTGGAGTATTTCGGCTGGATCAGAACAGTGATTGCACTGTTAGAATAATAATTTCAGTGCAGTTCAGGGAATTAACTGGAAAGTAGGAAGGGTAGGCAAAAGACGCAGACAGAGGGCCTCTACTTGATCACAATTAGACAAGGGAGGTCTAGATTAAGGTAATGAGGCTGAACAGAATAAGATGCCTTTGACAGTATTTAGAAGGCAGAATTGATAGGATTTTGTTACTAACATTAACATTGAAGGAGGTCCATTACATTAGGGGTGAGGGAAGATTTTATGATGATTTCTGACTTGGAGGTTCCATCTGAATCATTCTAACTTCCAAAATACAAGAAGATAAGCAGGTTTGGGGAGAAAGATGATAACTTCACATCTGCACACAATGAGGTTGAAATAGTTATCTATTAAAATAGGTAAATGTATGGATGTGGAGTCAGTAGTCATCTGGGCTGGAGTTAGAGAATTAGAAGCATCTTGGACCATTTTCTGCTACTATAATTGAATATTATTGACTAGATAAATTATAAACAAAAGAAGCTTATTTAGCTCACAGTACTTAAGACTGGGAAGTTCAAGATCAAGATCAAAGGACTGCATATGATAAGGGCTTTCTTGCTATGTTATAACATTGTGGAAGGACAACTGAGCATGCACAAGACAGAGAGAAAGGGTGGGAATTGAACTGATAACAAATACACTCTGAAATAAATTAGCCTACTCCCTCAATAATGGCATTAATCCATTCACAAGGGCAGAACCTTCCTGACCTAATCACCTCTTAAAGATCTCACATCTTTATACAGTTGCAATGGCAATTAAATCTCACTATGAGTTTGGAGAGGAAATTCAAACCATAACATATATCTAATTTAAAAATAAACTCTCAATCTGTATAAAATGAGACAAGAACTATAAATGGAACCCTGGAGAGCCCAAAAATTTTCATGAGTAGGCAGAAGAAGAGTGTAAAAGTGATGAAAAGTTGCATTCAGGGTCATAAGAGGCAAATATGATAAAGAGTTCTATGACAATGGGAGTGGTCAGCAACCATCAAACACTGAAAAGCCATCAAGTAACATGAGAAATGTATCCTGGAGGAAGCCACAGGCGACCTTTCCAAAAGTGGTTCCAAGAGAACACTACAGACACAAACCGCGATGCAGTGCTCTGACAAGAGAATGAGAAGAAAGGAAGCTGAGAAAGTCAGTGTTTCTTTCTTTTTAAAATATTTTTTAGTTGTAGTTGACACACCATTCATTCATTCATTCATTCATTCATTTATGGAGCTGAGGATGGAACCTTGGGTGTCACCCGTGCGAGTGAGCGCTCTATTGCTGAGCCACAACCCCAGCCACCACCACCACCACCCCCCGCCCCCGGAAAGTCAGTGTTTCAATGACTCTGGCTATGAAAGGAAAGTGAACATTTGATCAATAATGGGAAACATTTTTAAGGAAGAACTTGTTTTCATGATGTGGTTTGGGCCTGTTTACTGCTAATGAAACACAATTCATGGGGGGTGGGAAGGGTGACAAGGTAAAGGTGTCAAGGGTAATGTTGTGGAATCCATAGCAGAAGTAGTGGTGGAAATGGTCATGGAGTAGAGGAAGGGCTCCTTTTTCTTTGGATCTCCAGGGAAAGATTCAGGTGCCTGTGGTTAAGTGTTGGGCGGGTGGTGAGGAACAGATAAACTTAATGAAGTGCCAATTAAAAGGTGAGATTCTCTGTTGAGGGGAGACAGAGCTGATCTTGTGGGTTTAAAGAGAGCAATGAATATCAGAAAAGGTTCTAATGGAAACGGAAAAGCTTTAAGAACCTGGTAGTATAATTGGGTCCTCCTCCTTTTAAAATTAATCTTAGTTTATGTATGTGGAAATATGAGATATTGACTGTCACATAAAAAAATTCTGAATACTGTACTTATTGCTTTATATAAAGAAATATTTCTTGGCTTCCTGGTAGGAGCATGACACTTCCAGCTGCTTCCTGAGGAAGACATGTATTTGGAATTCTTCTAATATCAGTGGGGATGGCCTTTTAATACCCCCAATTTTTTGTACAATCACTGTAAGAATTAAGAATGGAAACTCTACCCTTGGAACAGAGTTTCCCTTCAATATTACTCTAACTGACCTAATCTAAGAGTCAAACTCCAAAAATCTTAGCATATTGGCATCAGCGACTGCCACGTTTACATATGACAGCACTCTATTTTAAACTATGATCTATGATCTATCTTTACAATTTTAAATTGTAAGCTACACCTTTCATGTCAAATTTTCCAAAGACTTGCATAACAAGCTCTGAGATAAATCTCATAAATGCTCCCTAGTGGGGAACTGCACATGCAACTACCTGTTTACATATGCAGTAACTTGAATTATACATGAAAATTCCACATGGATGCCCAGAATCAGCACTGTGTTAATTCAAGAAGTATATTAATTTTTTGGATGTATTTAGTAGCAGATCATGAGAAAAATCTGTTCTTTAAACTGGGTTTTCTTTTAAAAAAATTGTTAGTTGAAATTGATTATTTCAAGGAATCTACTCTTCCCAGGAAAAATAATTTGATAGAAATATTAATCTTATAATACATTAAAAATAAGAAAAGTTTTAAAAAATCCTTAGAAATTCCATATTTAGCTCTCTTAATGATCCTGTACACTGTCCCTATCCTACAAACTTAAGAGTCATATTGAAAATAAAATTTAAATGATAAATGTCAGTTGCAGAAGTTATCACCTTTTTATTTGAATGTTTGACTTCTATTGGATAATTCTCTTCCAAGAGACCTTCTTGGGGGAAAAAGAGGTGACAGCCAACTCATTGCCTAATTGATTTAGGAACAGTGCCCAGGGAGACAGTCCAATTAAGTTTACAAGCTGGCAATTAGCAGGAAGCCCTCTAAATCCCTACACTGAGAGCCTGTTTACTTTAGTAAGAAGGCAAATGTGCTAGAGATAGGAAGAGAAAGCTGTGCTTTTTGCAAAGCTGTTGTGAGTAGGCCCACAAGGGAGGGCTGAAGAAAAGCCAGGTAGATGTGGGCAGACAGCCTTATGTTTGACAGGTAACTGAGTAATTTAAAGGGTGAGAGGGAATGAGAGCAAGAGAGAGGAGAGAAAAAGCAGGCAAAAGAGAGAGAAGGAGGAAGAGACAAAGAGAAAGAGAGTGTGTGTTTTAACAAGACGTGCAAACATCAAACATCCACTTTAATTAGTGTTGTGTATGGAGACATACAACTGTTAAACATGAAGTCAGGCAAAGTATAACTGGATTATCTCATAACAAATGAGATTCCAAACATTTTTTTTCTTAGACAATATTAACATTGTGAATGCATTTATTTGTATTTTTAGTTTGTAGAAGGAAAATAATAGGCCTCACATTATATGCATCATATCTTTCATATTAATCAAGATATTTTCATTAGATCAATTTCATGTGTTCAATTTCAGAGACAAGTACACCTATAAAAAAAGTAAATCGCAAATTTTTATCACGAAGTCAAGTCTTATAAGAGGTTTAAAAATGTATTTACTTTTCTAACTTTTTAAGTAGCTATAATGTATATGAAACAAAAATTTTTTAAACCTATGTGAGTTTCTCTCAAGAACATTAAATTATACAAAACTACCTAAAGTTGTTTTGCTATTCTAGGACATAAACAGTAATATGAAACTGTAACAAGCAAATGAATCATCATGAGAGGATTTCATTTTAAAGTTTCCTGGTCGAATATGCTATATTAATATATAGTTTTATAAATAATGATTAATCCTTTTGAATGTTTTTAATCCAAAAGGGAAACAAAACAAAAAGTTACACAAATATTTTTAGCAAATTCTAACTACATATCTGCCTTCTTTATTTGTTTCACAAAATTTCAGGCTGGGAAGCAAAAGATATGGATAACCTAAAATAACATTTACAGAAAAAGTTTTATATTCCTACAACACAGAATTTTTCAATGAATACAGAAAGTACTTTTAAAATATTCACATGTTTATTTCTTAAGGAGTGTTTTAATAGGACATTTCAGAGAGTACCAGATGTGAAAGTTCAGGCTTTTTAATCATCATAAAGGATAATTAGTAAAATTTCCAAATTCAATATCTAATATTCATTTGACATTTAGAAAATGATCCACAAAGCCTTTTTAAGAAACTGTTTGAAAAGCAAACATATTTATGGGATTACAAATAACAAAAATCTACATTCCAAGAGTAGTTTTAGTTGCCTTAGTAATATCACTATCATAAACACTGTACTTACCAACTTCCTTGACTTACCAAGTTTAAACAAAAGCACACCCAAAGGTCCTCTGTCAAACCTGAGGAAGAGAAGATCATAGATGTGTCTATTTTCAGGCTTCTGAGAAACAACCAGAGGAGCTATCCACTGCATTTGAACAAGACTGCTGGAAACATCAAAGAACTTATTGAATTGCAGAGTCTCCCTGGGTAAGCGGTCTTCAGCCAAGAGCTGGATGTTAATAGGGGATAGAGCCATATCAAAAATTTGCAGCTCCCCTTGGTTGCTGCCAACTAGCAGAATGGCACCACTTGGGTGGCAGCTTATTAATGAAGGCAAAAGTTCAGCCTGGGCCAAGAGAGTCACTCTACGGTGAGTTTCATAAAGAACTACTGAAGAATCTTCACAGCCCAGAATCAGTTTGTCTTCAGTAACACTCCTGCAGCAGCTGATGGCCTTCGATCTTAATGGTATTCTGGTGACTGACACACAATGGATTTTGTTTCGAACACATTCATAGATGCAGCTGTCAGCCATGGGCTCTTTGTCTACACTGACGGACTGCTCCACTGTAAACACCTGATAAGGCTGTTTGGTGCCAAAGCAAACATCTAGTGGATCCCATTCTGTACGAACAGAACTCAGAACCTGTAAGAAATGCAGCAAGAACATCAGACGGTCAGTTGATATCACTTAAAGGCCACCAATATTAACCCAGAAACCCAATAAAGACCATCAATTTCCACTGTAACCATCAGCTTGACATATGCAACACATATATACCCAAAATAGAGTACACGAATAAGAATTAAGCTATTAAGATTTTAACTTTAATTTTGGGAAATCTATAAGTACTTAAAGTTAAAAATGTCCCACAACATATAAAAACAAACAAATTAGGCTATTAGAAAAATCATATGGCTTGCAGAATATCATTAAAAGTTAGAAGTTAAGTCAGGTATGGTGATGCACACCCACAATCCCAACTACTTGGGAAAGGGAGACAGGAAGATCAAGGCCAGCCTCAGCAGTTTAGCAAGATGCTGTCTCAATTAAAAAATAAAAAGAGCTGGTGGTGTAGCTCAGTAGTACACTACCTGGGAATTCAATACCCAGTACTGAAGAAAGAAGGAGGAGGAGGAGAACGAAGAGGAAAAGAATAATTAAAGGACTTTAAAGAATTAGTTATGTTCCACCTCCATCCTTCCTATATCTGGAATGATCAATAAGTTATTTACCAGAAATATATTTCTAATTAGTAGGGCTGGGTAGGCAAAGGGGAAAAATTTAGAATTCTATGAACAGTCTCATAGAATTATTTTGCTACCCCAAAAAATATTGCTGGGACTGGGGTTGTGGCTCAGTGGTAGAGCGCTTGCCTAGCACGAATGAGGCACTGGGTTCAGTTTTCTGCACCCCATATAAATAAATGAATAAAATAAAGGTCCAGTAGAAAAATGATCAATAAATAGTAAATAATACTGGTAAAGTAAAATTTTAAAGTCATCTTTAGTACATAAAGGAAAGATTACCTGCCTATAAGAAACATCAATGTAGAACAAACAAAAAAATCGGTCATTTATTTTATTAATATATAAATGATAGGTGGTCAAGAGCCAGGAGAATAGTATTAAAGAGGATATTTTTAATACTTTGTTAAAAAATTCAAAATCAGATATAGAAAATTAAATAACATGTGGGATAAAATATTATAGAACTGCTCACCATCAAAAAAGTACATTTAAAATATGATTAAATTTGGCTGAGGTCTGTCCCTGAGTTAATAGTAATGCATGAATGTCATTTTCCTATATGTCACAATGTATATTACAGTATACAATCATTTGAGGGGGAAAGCAGACAAAGAGAATTCATTGTACAATTATAGTAATTTATTATGAGTCAAAAAAAATTCAAAATGGAAAGTTAACTATCGTACAGAGTGTTGAATTGGGGAGGGGAATGGGAGCTGAAATGACTTTTTAAAAAAATCTATTTTGCACATCATCAGCAACTTAATTTTTTAATATTTATTTTTTAGTTATAGTTGGACACAACACCTTCACTTTATTTATTTTTATATGGTGCTGAGGATCAAACCCAGGGCCTTGCATATGTGAGGCAAGCACTCTACCACTGAACCATAACCCCAGCCCAGCAACTTAATATTCTTAAAATAAATGCTTTTGTTTTCACTCCCCTGTCCTACCTTTCAATGAAAACCCCCTAATAAATTAAATGTGTATTCCCTTGCCTAGAATGCAACTCCTGTGGGATCCATATCCATATCCATTTCCTGCACTCATTTTCCCTTTTGTCCAATAAATATTTGTTCAAATAAATATTTGTACCAGGGACTGGTCCTAGGGATATAGCAGTGAGTAAGTGTTTTCCCTCAGCGAGCACACACACTTGCATGGGAGAAAAAGTAGTATCTCTTCCTAACCTTTGGGAGGTTCATTACTGATATCTCTATAATAAAAGCCAAAATATCAAGAGGAGGCAAAACTAAATTATTTAACCAGTTTTAGGTGACACAGGAAACTTCACATATGAAGACCCAGGAAAAACTAAATTTTATGCTTACAGTTGATGAAAATGAACAGTGGTATAGAAGTATGATTGGATAAAAAGCAGATATGGCCTATGGTAATATACTGAAGGGAACTTAGCAAGGACCATTTGTTCTGATTTTTCTTTGTGTCTCTAGGTCTTCATTCCTTTAAGAGGGTAGGACAAATGTCACAGGAGGGTCTTGTACCCAAGTTTCAAGGGAGGTAGATCAAAGAATTCTTTTTATGGCTGGGGAAGAAAGATAGGAGAAGGTCAAAGAAAGAAAAGGCCACAAAAATCTTTGCTGCTTTCTACTATTTTTTTTTTTTTTCAATTTCCTTCAGCTTAAAATAGTCAGGGGGCTAAAGTGCCATATTTGGGGATAGAATTTCTGTTTCCCATTCACACTATAATAGTGAGGGAGAAGGCAATAATTAACAGGTAAGCACATTTCAATACCTTGTATATGTACTTCCTAAGTATTATGAAGTTAAATAAAGCAAAAAGGTGTGGGGGGCAGCAGAAGTAGGGGAAGGGGGCAGGATACAGAGAAGTCAGGGTAGGTCTTCCCAATAAATATGACTTCAAAGGGGCAAACCATTTCTCTAAGAGAATAGAGCTCCAGGCAGAGGAAACAAGATTCTAAGTAGAATCTCTAAAGCTCTTACCCAATATGGCTAGAGAATGGGAAGAAAGGAAGAGAATAGTGGAAATGGAATTTGAGGGGTGGGGAAAACATGGTGTAGTAGCTTGTAGACCAGCAGGGCATTCAAGGTTCCCTTCCAACTCACTTTTTCCTACCAACTCACTTATTATTTCTACTAAGCATACTTACCCTTAAAGACATAAAAGTATACCAGTTTTCTGGATTCCTCACAGATGTGTGACATCTCTCCTTCCTTTAATCCCCCTTCAAATCCCTTGCCCAGCCCCAACTTAACCAATGCCTTTCTTGTGACATCTAGCCTTCTATTTGCTTCTTCTTTTTTTATTTTTTTTATTTTTTATTTTTTTAATTTTTTATTGTGGGTTGTTCAAAACATTACAAATTTCTTGACATATCATATTCCACACTTTGATTCAAGTGGGTTATGAACTCCCACCTTCACCCCATACACAGATTGCAGAATCACATCAGTTACACATCCATTGATTTACATATTGCCATACTAGTGTCTGTTGTGCTCCGCTGCCTTTCCCATCATCCACCCTCCCCCCTCCCGACCTCTCCCCTCCCCTCCCCTCCTCTATCTCTACCCCCTCCACTGTATAACCCTGAGGGTCTCCTTCCACTACCATGCAATTTCCCTTCTCTCTCCCTTTCCCTCCCACCTCTCATCCCTGTTAAATGTTAATCTTCTTCTCCTGCTCTTCGTCCCTACTCTGATCTTAGTTACTCTCCTTATATCAAAGAAGACATTTGGCATTTGTTTTTTAGGGATTGGCTAGCTTCACTTAGCATAATCTGCTCTAATGCCATCCATTTCCCTGTAAATTCTATGATTTTGTCATTTTTTAATGCAGAGTAATACTCCATTGTGTATAAATGCCACATTTTTTTTATCCATTCGTCTATTGAAGGGCATCTAGGTTGGTTCCACAGTCTTGCTATTGTGAATTGTGCTGCTATGAACATCGATGTAGCAGTGTTCATGTAGCATGCTCTTTTTTAGGTCTTTAGGGAATAGACCAAGAAGGGGAATAGCTGGGTCAAATGGTGGCTCCATTCCCAGCTTTCCAAGAAATCTCCATACTGCTTTCCAAATTGGCTGCACCAATCTGCAGTCCCACCAGCAATGTACAAGTGTACCCTTTTCCCCACATCCTCGCCAGCACTTGTTGTTGTTTGACTTCATAATGGCTGCCAATCTTACTGGAGTGAGATGGGATCTTAGGGTGGTTTTGATTTGCATTTCTCTGACAGCTAGAGATGGTGAGCATTTTTTCATGTACTTGTTGATTGACTGTATGTCCTCCTCTGAGAAGTGTCTGTTCAGGTCCTTGGCCCATTTGTTGATTGGGTTGTTTGTTCTCTTATTGTCTAATTTTTTAAGTTCTTTGTATACTCTGGATATTAGGGCTCTATCTGAAGTGTGAGGAGTAAAGATTTGTTCCCAGGGTGTAGGCTCCCTATTTACCTCTCTTATTGTTTCTTTTGCTGAGAAAAAACTTTTTAGTTTGAGTAAGTCCCATTTGTTGATTCTAGTTATTAACTTTTGTGCTATGGGTGACCTATTGAGGAATTTGGAGCCCGACCCAACCGAATGTAGATCGTAGCCAACTTTTTGTTCTATCAGACGGCGTGTCTCTGATTTGATATCAAGCTCCTTGATCCATTTTGAATTCACTTTTGTGCATGGCGAGAGAAAGGGATTCAGTTTCATTTTGTTGCATATGGATTTCCAGTTTTCCCAGCACCATTTGTTGAAGATGCTATCCTTCCTCCATTGCATGCTTTTAGCCCCTTTATCAAATATAAGATAGTTGTAGTTTTGTGGATTGGTTTCTGTGTCCTCTATTCTGTACCATTGGTCCACCCGCCTGTTTTGGTACCAGTACCATGCTGTTTTTGTTACTATTGCTCTGTAGTATAGTTTGAAGTCTGGTATCGCTATACCGCCTGATTCACACTTCCTGCTTAGCATTGTTTTTGCTATTCTGGGTCTTTTATTTTTCCATATGAATTTCATGATTACATTCTCTATTTCTACAAGAAATGACGTTGGGATTTTGATTGGCATTGCATTAAACCTATAGAGAACTTTTCGTAATATCGCCATTTTGATGATGTTAGTTCTGCCTATCCATGAACAGGGTATATTTTTCCATCTTCTAAGATCTTCTTCAATTTCTCTCTTTAGGGTTCTGTAGTTTTCATTGTATAAGTCTTTCACCTCTTTTGTTAGGTTGATTCCCAAGTATTTTATTTTTTTTGAAGATATTGTGAATGGAGTGGTTGTCCTCATTTCCATTTCAGAGGATTTGTCGCTGATATACAGGAATGCCTTTGATTTATGCGTGTTGATTTTATATCCTGCCACTTTGCTGAATTCATTTATTAGCTCTAATAGTTTCTTTGTAGAGCCTTTTGGGTC